CCTCGCTTCCATCGCGGGGTCAAGTCGCCGATGGAAGATGTTTGCCCAGGGGTGACGCAGGAGGCTTTTGATAGCCGTTTATTAAACAACAAATTCATCGCAGTAAAGATTAAGGTTTTATGACGGTTCTTCGTTCTTTCCTTATTACCTTGGAAAATATCTTTATTTAACGGAAAGGATCTACAGAAAAGTTTTAATTGCATTTTCAGATTACAAAATTCAGAATGTTTGTGGTTTGGAAATTGTTTCACCAGTCGTATACCGGCTGGAGAGCGGCTTTTTTGTTCATGCAAATTTATTTGTGCCAACGAATAATGATTATCATTATCAAATAATTACAAACATTCATTGGAAATATCGTCAATAATCTATTTTAGTGTATTGTTATTAGTTGTTTTGTTTAATTATTTTGTTTTGTTAAATTAGAGTTAAAATGAATTTTTTATAGTTTAATTAGAACACACGCGTACTTGGCCTTTGATTACGTGGTGCTGCTACATGGAATATTGTCTTTGTAGGTTCAAAAATAATTTGATACGAGTGTAATGTTCAAGAGAATAGGCGAAATGTTGATGGAATGAAAATGCAAATTTCCTGTGTTGTGAACAAAAATCAATTTCCTTATCAGCAGTTAAAATTCTCATCGCGAATCAACTTTGAATTTACGTAAAAAAAGGAATAGGATGTTAAAAGTTAGTGGGTTCAATGAACCGCAAATTACCTCGTTTTCCGTCTTCGAATAATCATTTTTATGTCCAATACATTTGTTGAAAGTTGTATTTTGGTTCTAGAAAAAAGGTCGTTCAGCGTAAACAATTAAGTTTTACGACGGTCACACATTAATGAGTCATTACAGAACCTCGCTGCGAAAATTCCACATTCTGTGTAACACGGGGTGTAACAAAGCGGCCCCGCTTTAATCAAGCCAGGCGCTAAACAGTTTCACGATTCAAGGGGATATACCACAGCTGTGTGGTCTGCGAATTTCCATTTACAGCCACGAGGCTTTTGTGGCATTGAGTACGTGGTAACTGATTGCCGTATTTGATCTCACTGCGATGGGACTTCAGGCTCAAAATAATTTCTACAGAAATAAGAAGGGGGGGAAGCATTAAAATATTTTTGTTTTATAAAAATATTGGTATTTTTTTGGAATCAATAGGTCACGTGTTCACACAACCGTAACTTTCGAATAAGGAGTAATTTTGAGGAATGATTCCTTTCTTTGCAATTTGGTAATGCCTGTTCGGTTTGTTATCAGTTTGACATGTTTTATTTGAAAAGCGCATATCCCTCAAACGCAGTAATGTAAATATCATGTAATAAACAATATGGGTTCAGCTTCATCGTTTTTATTTTACGTATTATCTGTTGACAGAATAGAATTACTGATGAGTTTATTACTGATATTATTTAACGGAACTGGTGATGTCGCAGCAATCGCAGACTGTGCTGGTTGAGCCAATTGACTCTTGCTCTGGAACGCTATATTTGCATGTAAATCGGAGGCTTGCATATGAGAGCGTGCTGTGCGCACTATACCGTACACCCTCCTACGAACGCTTTAGATGCTCGGGAAACTGTACGAAATATAAACACTAGACCTAGAAAAGTTCGCTTTCGAATAAACAAGAATAACATTTTTCCCTCTTGAGGCTGCATTCGCTCTTGAACACGTCTTCGAAAACTACCTCTGAATCTGAGATTACTTAATGCTTTTTTTGTTCTATCATTATTTCTATTTAAATAAATAAATGTCATTCTTAATTTCATTCATCAATTTTTAATTATAGCCACATCTGACAATGCTTTCATAAAATGCATTTCGTCGCAGTACAATGCGTTCATAAAATTTATTCATCAGAGAGCAAATAATTGTGTAGAGAAATTGATTTTCTTGTAGTTGGATGAATATTACTGCCGACTTCGCTCGTTTCCCTTCTCTTCACTAATATTTGAGATAACTCTCACATATCCAATTATAAAATTGGGAGTTTTCATGTTTTTTGTTGGTAGCTTCTGAAGTTTAATAAGCTCTGGTCATTTTGACGGAGAATGATCGTTGATACCCTTGATTTCATTAGGAAAATCTTTCTTTCTTTTTATTATTTTCCTGACTGTCTGTCCTTCAAAACTAATTTTCGCAGCCTGGGTCTACCGCTTCCCGATTAGTTTTTTCGTCAGTCAAATGATAAGAAGGATTTAATCTTTTGAGATATAATAAACTATATTCAGTATAGAGTTCGTTTCTTTCCTATCTTGCTTACTCCATGTTTTTTTGATTGCCTCCTTTTCCCTTGTTCATCCTAAGTATGATGATATTTTGCTCTATTTTTTGGCATTGAATTTCATGAATTGTGTATAAGGTTTTTGGAATCTACCACTGTGTTCTCCTTCTTTTTCTTTTTCGTTATTTTTCATCGTTTTTCTCTTTCTCGTTAACTACGTACGTAGTATAAAGCATTGTAATGCTACAGCGAAAATTGATTTATTTTCAGGGGTCGTTTTAAGGGTCTCTGATATCGCAAATTGAATAATTATTTTTCGTATCTAGAAAATTATTTCCTTTCGAACGTCGTGCAGAATTCATGTTTTTGGAGTCTTTTATAACAAAAATTTGGTGCAAAACGTCTATTTGTCTGTGAATTACTTGTTGGTGACTGGTGTTTTTCCAAAATTGATATTCCTAGATTTCATTGACGTCGCGAACCTTTGAATTTGAAATATTTTTAATTGTGAGGATACTTTAAATGAAGTCCCAACATTTTCAACTTCTATTCTCAGAAATGACTAAATTACAAAATTATTTCTTTACAATTTTCTTAAATAGAGCAAAGTTCTTCCTTGCACTTACAATATTAAATATAGAGATTTTCTTTAAATAAAATATGTTCTTGAACATTAGTGTTGCGAGTTTTATTATAACCTGTGAATTTTTGGAAATTACTGGTGTTTAACTTTCTTTCTCAAGCGTCGGGAACGCTCGTATGGCAACTCTTGTGTTCAGGGTAGCGGATACGTTAATCGTTTGTGAAACCTAAGAAGAAATGAAACCTGAGTAGAAATCCTTGCGTGGGCAAATACATTTTTGCGGTTTGGAATCACTTTGGATAATTCAAGTACTATTACAATATTGCAGTATCGTAACATATGATTCGAGAAAGTACATGTGGTTATAAACCACCAGATGATTTTCTGTTTCCTCGAACTTCTTTTAAAACATTGACGTTTTACTTATCATTCTCTACCTACTTTTCCCACACTTTTTTCTCCTTTCCATTCAACATTTTAATGTGCTCCCTCACTCGTCTTCATAGTAAAAGTTTCTGTGGACGAGTTGCTTGACAATCTTTGAGTATTCCAGAGTAAATTTATCAAGTCCGTATAAACAGCCGTATACCAGTTCAGATATTTGGCTGGTGCATCGGTTAAGGCTGTGTCCACAGTTATCGTTATATCGACGTTTGCCAGTTGGGCAGGAATCAAATTTAATTACTGCTTAACTACAATATTGACTGTTCAAATAGCCCGCGTCATCAAGGTCGCAAAGAGGGAGTGGAGGAGGTGACTCACATCAAAACCGGCTGCACATTAATATCAACCCAAATACTGTATGCAAACAGATATGAGAATACTGTTTAGCTGGGAGACGGTCTAGGAATCTGACTAGCTCGTCGTGATGTATAATTTCGGGAGGGTATGATTCACTATTCGTTACGGGTCTCCGCGCAAAGCGCACCAGCAACTCCTGAGACCTGCAATACCGAACTTTCTCTATTAACTAAAATTGTTAATATAACTTAATTTGCTGACTCGTGCATAGCCCATTTACCCCATGAACATTTAACGTAATATATCTAATCGGAAATTCGCGTCATATAGATCTTAGAAAATTTATATTCATAGGTCGGCAGAACCTGTCCATACGGAACTGTACATGAATTTCCTGTCCAGAATATATAATTTGAATTTCTCTTTCAAAATAACACTTCAACTGCTTCATGAATATTTATAATAATTCGAAATTCATCACGTTACAATTTAAACCTGGAGCTTCCTACTCTCCACCAGATTACAATACTCCATTTTGTTTACCAGCTCCGTTGCTCGTCGCTACTAACGAAACAAAATATAATATAAAAAACCAATTAAATACCTATTAATAACTATAATATTAACATCATTCATACATTTAACATGTTTTACATATTGATTTCTTTCCTATCGCACCGTGCGTGGCCATTGTTGTATTTACGACTATTATTTTGAGAAATAAAGCACTATGCCAATTATACTGATTCCCCAACTTCATCATCGCCGGTCCGGATGATCGAGTTTGCCATGGCAGTAGGGCCGTAGCGATCTCGGACCGAATGATCGCCTGTTCGAGTACCGCCTCGGGCATGATTGTATTGTTTTCGTCTTTTCACGCCCTTATCATATCGTGTCATCCTCATAGTTACCATACCGTTACACGCAATAGTGCTCGCTAATGACCTAGTAGTTGATGCGACCTTAAATAACAAACAAAACTTCATCCTAAAATATTATGACTGTAATACTTCTTTTGTTTTCAGTCTGCCCTCTTGCCCGCCGGAGATAAAACCATTTCATGAACCATGCTTCGCTTGGTACCCCCTCCCATTGTGTTCACATTCTGATTTTTGAAATTAATTTTCAAATTGCAATTCCGTTCAAAATGTAACCCATTACATTTTGCTACTTTTCCACTGTTCAAGCACTATTATCAAACTGATTTACGTCTATATAAAATTTAAAATGTTATATTGCGCGACGTCGCGTGTCATCAGCTTATGACCGTTCATCACGAGCGCAACTGTCATTCTCCTCCATTACCTCTGATACCTCTGCCTTTCTTCTTCTCTGACCAAAAGGTTTATAAATTTATACCTTGATATCTTCGGCGCACCATTTTCATCTGTCGTCTCCTATTTTTAGTTCTATTGGCTCCATATTTTAGACTCTCAGTACATTGTTTTTGGCAGTCACTAATTTAATTTTGCTCGCATATTCTTTCTCACACATGGAAATCACATTCGTGCCTATTGCTAAAATTTCTTATTTATTTTATTTTACTTATTATCGCATACCAGGCCCCTTCTATTTAATTTCTCAGTAATCATTAATTTGACCCTTTACGTATTTCATTTGTCACATTCTAGCTATTTCGCTGTAAAGCACTAGTAATTTCGGCTTACTTATGAAATTCTAAATGACCTGACACACTCCCAAATGTCGTATGTCGTGTCAACAAACTTTAGAAGTCACTGCACAGCCCTCTCTGTACTTCAGGGATTCCTAATCATTTTCTTGCATCGACTGCTTTTAAAAAAGTTTCCATCTTCAACGCCAGTGCATATATACTTTCTCGCATACTCTATACGTAGTATAGGCAAAGTTTTCTAAAGCTGTGGTGAAAAACATGTTCTGTAGTCAGAATCCAGATGTGTGGGTACTTGACACTGACAAATTAGTTGACGGGAATAAGTCATCTGTCCGCCCGCCCGCGCGCCCTCTCTGGCGACTATTCCATAAGATTTATTTGTACATAATTGATATTCCCTGATAAATCTGTCAGATGTTGCAGCCCCTTGAATTTGAGATAGATGTTTCAAATATTAGGGGTATTCTACATGAAGCTTTAAGGACATTTCAATTTTTTCTCAAAAAGAGCTCGAAATATTTTTCACTTTTTAATTTTTTTCAAATACAGCGAAGTAGGCTTATAAAAATAGCGCAGGTGCAATTTTCTTTGCTTTCTCTGAATTTTCGAAAATTGCAAAGATGCAATTTTCTTTCGGCGCCTTCTAAATGAAGTGTGTCCTCTAAATGAAGTTCTTGAAAATTATATCTTAAAATGAGGACATGCACATTTTCCCCCAAAATATTTGGGATTTTGTGTAATTTTGCGTGAAATGAAATCAATTTTAAAAACAATATTTTCTCAAAAATTGGTACAATATTTTTCTTTAACAGTTTTCTACGGATAGTGCTATATGCACTGAATAGCATTTTAAAATTGATTTGGCTTTTCAAAAACTACATAAATGTATTTTTTTAAATATCTCTGGCGTTAATATTTATATTATGGGCATTTTGATACATTATTGATTTCGTGATCACAAGTGATTCAAATAATTTCTATTGAATTTTCGCGAAAAAATCAAAATTTCTGTGTGAAAATGAGCTTAAAATTGCGCAATTTAAGAATCGCTCAATCGACATGCTCTCACGAACGGCTTCAAACATTTCAAAGCTAATTTGAAACTCTCCTGTTACTCTCCCGTCATATTCTTAAAGTCACATTTAGGGAACCGAAAAAATTAAGAAAATGTGAACAGTTTACTTTTAGGCGCTGGTAGGTAACAGCTGAGGAAAAGATAGCCCAGAATAGAGAGATTATGAAAATAGTGCGGGAAAGTCCGAGTCATTCTGTAGCACTAGTTCTTTATTGTAACCAAAATGAACCTGCCCCTCGCTGGGAATGCCAATTTGTAACATAATTAAACATTTCTAATTTATAAACTATCTCTATCTCAACTTATTTGCATTGTCCATGCTAGAAAACAATTTGAAACGTTTTATGATTTTTTAATTTTCCCTGTTATGTTTAATTATCCCTGCTATGCTCGTAATTTCATTGCTGTAATTATTCATAATTTCTCTAGCTCTGTTTTTCTATTAAGATGTTGCATGCGTTCGACGTGCAATATATGTCATCTTACCTGCTACGTGTATCACGATTCATGGAACCTCCGTGGAATTTACTACCTACTGAATTGATGGCAATTCAATGAAATATCAGACTGTTATTTTCAAACAAATAATACCATTTATTGCTACAATATAATACCATGTATCGTGTTCGTTATTTATTCATAATTCTACGAACTTTAAACATTATTCAACCGTACGGCTTTGATAAAGTTCGTAAGCTTGTCGAATGTTTTCTCGGTTGATATCATGCCGCAGTCTTTTCCAAAAGAGGATGTCCTTGGTCTTCCTGTGGTGTAATTTTTGAGCCTACTGCTTAGCCTACATTATTATGGATTAACCAAACAAACATTTATCCACAATATAAATCTATTATCGCAAAATTACAATTTCATAATGCTCATACCATGTGGACTGCTTGGCTACTACCGTGAGAGTAAAAATTCTTTATGCCAAAGATATATTTTCAACGCCCGCCCCTAATCAATTCCATGTTAATTACTCCAGGCCATGCCGTATCTCGACAATACAATTCTCGTCTTGCATCCAGCATGGTGGCTAAATGTTTATAGTTTGTTGTTATGGTATGCGTGTTCCATGAATTTTAACATTCTAGATGCATCCATTACGTTGAACTACACTCGTGTGACATTCTGGTATGTGACCCTCTAATTTACAGAAAACAACGCAATCATTACGCTGACACCCCTTGCATCAAAATGACTTAAGGATATCAAATCCGCATACAAATATTTCCGTACTTCGTAATTTTCCAATAAGTAGATGCACTTCCGCTTCTGAACGGTGTAGTTTACAATCTTCATTGTTGAACAACCTTCACAAAACATAATTCATGTTAAACTATTCTTTTATAAACTGGCCTAAAATTTTCTGGTGTCTTCTAGAGAGAACATTTTGAGCAACGTTGTGATTACATAGTTATTCCTTGACTTTTAGAAACATACCAATGATGGACGGTGAACGAAAGAAGAGAAAATAATTTATAATGTATTTTTTTGTAGGTAGGGGAAAGGGAATTGGGAGTGGGAGAAAGTGGGGGAAGGACGCTGCCAGTGACAGAGGTGTGGGTAAACTGGGTTGGCGTTATAGGCGTTTCAAAATTTTGAACAAATACATGAAGTAATATATTACTCGGGCAACTTTTCTTGAACGATTTTGGGTGGAGTGGGGATATTAGTTACAAAGTCGGCCACTAGAGTATTCTAAGTAATGCCAACGTCTGTGAAATGAAAGTCAAAACTGTATCTTGAGCTTAACTTTTTCGGGAGTTTTAGGTGACTTCCTTGAATGACCTGGACCTGACTCAGTCATTTCTGTCGATATTGACAATAAACCTGAACAAGAGTTCATCACTATGAAAGCAATTTGCTTTGACTAGCTTCTGTTTCGCGCCAACGAAGTTTTAATGCTTTAATCAGTGCCCGCTGCGAGATTTTGCTTTCAAGTGTTTATTGCACAAGAGAGGGGGATCAAGGTCATCGTTCAAGAAAAGATGCGCGAGTAATACAAATATTTTATAATGATTAATAGTGAATTTACAATTAAAATGATAATTAATTATTGGTTAGTAGATGTTATGAAGCGTTACATCAGAAAACGATTATCAATTTCACGATAGTGTTTGTGTAATTAATTCGATCCTTATTGTGATTAAACGGATATGTTCATATTCAGCTATTAAGCCCCCAGAGATCCCCTTACTCTTCGATGACCAACCTTTGAATCTTACCCTGAAAGGTCGATACCAATATTGTAACCTCAGCCCTTGCTATACCCGGAGCCCGGAGCACCTCCAAGCCCTAACAGCCGCAGCTCATTATTAGATAGTCTATGGGTGGGGAGAAATTACTTTTTCACAAATTTATAAGTCTACATAGGTATGAGGAATTATTTTTCAAACGGATTAGAAGTAGATATGAAAAGCCCAATTGAAATATATTGTATTAATTAAACTATTTTTTGTTCATCAGAATTTTTTTCTTTTTAAAGATGTATTTACATTATTTATCTACATTTCTCCTAACTTTACATGATGAACAAAACTGAATACAATAATATAATTACACATGTAAAGCGAAAGCAGGATAGAAGAACATGAAATTACACAATAATAATAATATAATAATAATAATAATAATAATAATAATAATAATAATAATAATAATAATAATAATAATATAATGTCTAATATTTGTAATCAAGGTAATATTTGATGTACGTTAGAGGTAAAATCAGAGAATATTGGAAAGACGCTCAGAAAGTTTAAGCAAGAGTTGTGGAATTTTGCAGTGGACAATTTGCAGTACAGGACGTTTCCTAAAACCGGGAATCAATGGATGGCAAGTAAATTTTAATCTTATTTTTAGCCATTTGTTTGGAAAAATAAAGATGTTCGTTGTAAATGAAATTTTTGAAAATTGCGTTGCGTCATATAAATCACAAAATATAATTTTTCATTATACTTTCCTGCCTGATAGTTTAATGCGAAGAAATTGCCTGACACTGAGACATGGCACTTGCCCATAGATATGCGCTTCTTCGTTAAGAGTTACGCAACTATAAATAGAGAATATTTAAGCGTAAACAAACATTTTAGTACGCGGTTCTCACTGGCCAGTAACATTGAAACCTTCGACAATTTTTGTCGTTTGAATTTCGTTGGACTGTAATTGAAGTGAGGGATAAAAATAATTGAAATTATTGTTGTGAAACCTAGTAGTATATATGAAAGTGAAACTTAAAAATGAATAACGCTTGATTTAGATAGAAAGAGATATCTTTGGATTCTCGCGAAACTTTATAATTTCCACAAACATAGTCCATGTCTAAGATAGTCAAATGAATTCATTTCCACGTCTGCAGTTTAAGGAAGTGAAAGTAACGTGGTTTATGGCAGCAGTTTCACAAATCTGTTTACATGAAAGCATTGTAAAAATTCTAAGCGTGAAAAATTAAATTTATATTTCAAACAACGGAAATAAAAAAAATGATACTCTCAAATTAACTGTAGTTAGGCAGTATTTTAAGAAATAATGAAGAAGAAAAACTTTTCTGGGACGGGTATCCGGAGACTGGAAAAAGGGAGGGTAGAGACTGGAGAAAGGGAGGGTAGTGACTGGAGAAAGGGGGCCGGAGACTGGAGGATGGCGAAGCCGTGGAGTAGGCGGAGGTTGGAGGAGAGGGACAGGGCCGTAAAATAGACAGGAGGAGTAGGCGGAGACCTGAGGAGGGGGCAGACATTGGAGGGTTGGGTGTGAAGAGATGATGAAAATTGGAACTTAAGAGAGCAGATGTAGCGAGTGTGGGCGAGGGGAAAGCCAAAAGCGGGAACGGGTAAGCGAGAAAGCGAAAGCGAGGTCGGGAACGGGCGTCGGGGGCTAGCAGGGAGCACGACATCGACACGACACCCACTCATGCGCCTTACTCTTGCCGGGGGCGGAGGGCTCGGGGGCGCCGCCGTTCTCGCCGCCGCCCTCGCCCTCGCCCTCGCTTCCTCCGCCACCGCCGCCGCCTCCGCCGCCGGGGCCGCCGCGCGCCGTTCGCCCTCGCCCGGGGGCGGCCCCGGGCCCCGCTGTCGCCGCCGCCGCCGCTGCAGCCAGCCCTGCCAACACAACCACCGTCGTCATCGGCTCAGGGGCTGAGAGCGCGTTCCGCGGCGCGCTGCGGCGCGCGCAGGCTGACGCGGCGCTAATAGGATTTGCGGAGCGCCTCTCGGCGCCGCGCCGCGCCGCGCCGCACGGCGTCGAGGCGCGCCGCCCGATGCATTATGGGCCTTAAGCTGCGGGTCAGCTGGCGCCACCGCCGCGCTGGCTGCGTTGCGCGCTCTCATTCCTCACCAGAGGCGACCTCGTACCTGCGAGTTCTAACGCAACTCTCTGCGCAACGAGGCCTGCACCCTGTTTGGGGTGTGCCCGACCACCTGCAACTGAACGATTGGACAGGAAAAGAACGACTCCCATGATCTAGAGAGCTGTTAAAAGGAATGTTAAAGCCAGTGTTCCATTCAGAAATGTAAAATGTTGCTTTTACGTGGCTGCGTCATTTACGACTGATAGACGATGTGTTTGCCTGAATCAAGAATTTGAATATCATAATTAGACACAATATATGTATACAATATTGCGGCTAAATAATGTTTTGTTCATATTAAGTAATTCATAAACATTAATTTTCATTATTACAAAAAAATTCCGAAGTTCATTCACGTACTTGAAATATTATTTTCCAAGTTCCAACACCGTTCAGAGAAACCTTCGTCAACGATGTGCATCATTCGTAAGCAGTAGTACTGCGGATGCGAAAACTCTCAGCTGTCAGCTCGCAATGATTTCAGTTTTTAAGCAACTCGCTTATCTATAAATTTATCATTTGTATTTTCCAGTACTTTGCAGTTTCCTAGCGATCGTTGACGTCCTCATTTTTTGGGAATTGTTAACAATACGTTATCTCATGTGGCTTGTCTTTTGATGTAGGTAATGCATCTTTTAGCCGTAGATTTGCAGGGTTTTGTGTGGATGGTGCTTTATTAGAGGAGCAATTTCCAAAAAAAGTTTAAAAGGGTCTCATTTTGCAGGTTGTGCAAGAAAAACCCAGGGGACCGATAACCGTATTTTTAGGACGCCCCGTTTCTCAGTTACGTGCGATGACTACATATGTTACTGCATAATGGGAGATAACATTGTGCAAACACAAATTTCTTCCGAGCATAATCTACAAAATTCCAAATTTTTCGTCTGATACATCACTTTCAAACAGTGACACATGTATATGATTTTGTTACGATGGCTTATAAATGGTACAAATCTGTCACCTATTCTTAGTGTATTATACGTGAAAAAAATGAATTCATTTAATTTGAATGAGAGGATATACTTTATTTACCTCATAATTTGTATTGGCATCGCTTTTAATTACATTTCCAAGGCTTCAGCTTCTATATTTACAAAATAGCTTTTGCATCCAAATTTAATATTTTAATTTATTCCATATTTATTATATAAATTTACATATTACACTAAATATTGAAGTAACTGTTAGACTCAGAGCATCTCCTGCTCCTGTTTTCTACCTATTGTTAAACCAGGTCCTTTTTACTTGGTTAGTATCGCTCATCGTACCACCCTGACACTTTACGAAGTAGATATTTACCAGTAGGCTAAGGAGTGTTTGATTTGCAAGAAAACTGAACAAAGAGACAATCGGCATTCACCCGCCGCCTTCCTTGAAGTCAACATATTACGAACCGATGCGTTATTGAAGTTTTCATTGGTAGAAAACATTGGTTCATTATACGAATGTGATGATTTTCTCCAACGTACTTCTTATAATGGAACTTTACTTCAAACAGGTGAAGGGGTTGTTGAAAAACTAAACTCTCTAGGGGTTGTTGAAAAACAGCTTAAGACAACCACAGATAACAGTATTGCGCTCTTCTCATATTTTACTTTGGAAGTTTTAAAGAATGATTGATGTTTCTATCTCTAACATATTTAATAACTCTGACTTATTTCGATTATGACCTTTTCAAAATGCAACCTGCAACTCATTTTCAAAAATGTCTCCAAATTTTTTATTAAGCTTTTTTCTCTGATAGCATAAAGGAGCGTATCTCTTAGTTTCGTTAGAATAACTGGATTTTTGAAAATTGCGGATGTTCAACATTTTTTTCGGTGTCTTCCTACAACTACAGAACTGGGATTTTCCTCCGAATAAAATCTGTTCTTCGAAATTATATCTTTAAATGAAGATAGTTTTTAGAAAATACTTTACGCTCCCCTCCAAACCAAATATGGGAAAATGTTTTGGCACCGATAAGTAGAATAAAGAAAGAGAGCGAGACAATACCGATATGTCTAACAATTTTAATTTTGATGGTGTGGGGGTTACCAAGTTCAAGTAAACCTATGGACTCGTGTTAAAGTTCCAATACGGTCAAACATTTTTAAATGTTGGAAGGATGAGCTGGAGTGAGGGGAAGTCCTAAGTGAAGTACAACGTCATCGGCTGCTAAAACATATGAAATGGAGTTGAACGATGGCCGGCCCAGTGACAGACGTGGCTAAAGCAACAATGCAACGGCGATCTCGGTTCGGGTTCGAGTCCCGCATTGGTATGGTTGTAGTTTTCTGTGAAGCCGAGTGGTTGGGGGTTTTCCAAACCCCCCGTGTCTCACCCTATAAAAAACCTTTATTTCCGTCCCTTGTCTTTCCTGTTTAGGAGTAGGTAGACGTGGGATAAACTAGGGCACATGGGAGGCGGCTGTGAGTTAATGGACACCAGGGGTTTGAAGGAGTGGGAGGCTGAAGGTCAAGGCATCAAAGGACAGAGAACTGATTGATGATTCAGGCGCGTCACCTGCTAAGGTCATTAGTACATATTGTAATCGCGGGAGGTGGCGATCTTCCTCCGCTGTCGGGCGAGATCCGGCGCCGACCTATGTTCGCTTGCGGGAATTTTGCCAAACCATGTATCTCCTACTAGAGTGGTACCAACCTAGCCGAGACAAGCTCTAAGGATCCTCTCCCCTCTGGACTCGCGACATGTGTTGTAGTGTAGTGCATGTACGTGCAAGTGTGTGCAAGTAAGGGGTAGGGAAGGACAAGGCAGAGAAGAAAAAATCGCGCGCGGTCCGTGACCCGTTTGTTAGGGTATTGCTTCGGCATTCGTCAGATGTTGATCGGAGAGACAACAGAAAAATACGGACCAGGGCAGCTGGACGCTAGAATTTTCTAGTCAACTGCTGAGTTCTACCTAGGTATCCTATGGACCTGCCGGTCAGAGGCGTCGGCAACAATTGATGTTCGGAGCAACCATCACCGGTAGGAAGGACTAGAGAACGGGGGATGTTGATTTTAAGATGACGTTGACGGGTTCAAATATGCAAAGGAAGATTTCGTAGGCTTTCAATAAAAATTCAAATATTTAATAACTATTACTAATATTAGTAAAAAGTATGTGCTATCAGAGTACCACTAATTTTTAGCCTAAGAGTGTTAATAAGAAATAATTCGTCACTTATTTTCTCATAATTTAGCATTTTATAATTTCTGTTCATTTTCTTGTTGCAAAAATGTTTTCTGGTCAACAATTTCCAAAGGCAATTGAAGCACATGATTAATTTTTATTACAAATAATTCTTCTTTTAACACAATCTCCACGACCGCTTCATCTCTGTGCTCGCACTCTGCCGCGACGCTCTCGCCTCCTCACGCGCCCGGGCCGACGCCTCCCGGCGAGATAAGCCCGGAGCGTGGCGTTTAAAGGTTAATATGAAAGAAAGCATATCTATTTAATTTATTTACAAAGAAATTAATTATTTTTCTGTTTGAACATTACAAAATTACGTGAATAAATATTTCAATATTTTTGTCATTGCTCCCTATCATAAGTCATCTTCTTTTAAACTATTTATTTTCTGCAATTTATAAATGTCTTCATTCGATGTATTTTTGGGCCTTTCTTTTGTTCTTCTCAGTGGAGTCCAAATAAATATTTGTTTTGATATAATATTTAATCCCATACAGTTTTCATGACCAAAGCATTCTAATTTTTTATACTTCAAACAATTAAAATTGATTTATTTTTTCATTCTTTCTCTTATAATATACTTTTTTATTCTTGATACTCCTACAGATCTTATTTAAAAAAATCATCTCCGTGGATAATAAATCATAACTTAATTATTTATTAAATTTCCATAATTCTGCTCATATGAAATAACACTATGAAACATATTTCTTACATACCTTTAGGATGAAAGTAAGTGAATTCAAAGAAAACGATCACGCTAATTTCGAAAATTATTATAAAAAGTTTCTATCAATCAAGGTTCAAAAGTTATAAGCATATTTAGTATTTAAAATAAACAAAATTCTACACTGATTTCCACATTGTCTCTGGTTATATAACTCAACATTGTATGAGCATGCTTCATGTGAGGTAAGAACGAGTTAAAATGGGATACGCATTTCGAGCAAATAATATGCACATACTAAAATGAGTTTTTGGTATTCTCCACAACATTGGTTGAACAAATGATATTGATTTTAGTTTTCCTTACAACTACAACATAAGGTTCGTTGTACAGGTGACTCAACACTAGTGAATAGCCCGTAGTTTGTCACGACAGCCAAAGTATAAGTAATACGCAAGTTTTGTAATTTTATTTTTCCCCCTTTGAAATAGGGTGAAAATCTTCCGCGAACATAACAGAAGTTATCGGGATGATTTGCACACTTTCGATGTGAAATGATTTGCATTTTAAACAACCGATTCAATTCTATAGATCATGTGGGAAAGTTCACTTTTTAAAACCACAGAACTATAATGTATTAAAGAATTTGAGGCATGCTCAAATCAGACACGAAAGTCACGCACACTGCGGGCACAGTTCCGCATGGCATAGGATCTGCCACCCCAACAACTGGATGCTTGCGATAAGATAAGGGGCTGAAATAATTCCTTCCGATGACTGACGAGCAGTAGGAAATATGAGGGGGCACGTGACTTGTTTTCAAAAATCCACTACGACCTACTCGTAATTGAGCGCGACTACGAGACGCAAGAACGCAAGACGGCAACCATCGAATACAGAAGATAAAAAAACACGAAAGCCTAATTTTGTTGATATTTCATGAAAGTTGCACGGATAAACTGAACAAATATTTTATTATTAAATATTTTATACGTATTGATTCTTTATATCTAACAGGCTAACTTTATATCTAACTAATTTCAACATATTTGCATTGATAGCAAAATCCGGTAAGATACGCTGTAAAGACGGGATATATTTAAACGTTGTGACGTAATATGATGTTTTCATTGTGATTATTGTAATCTACGTAAATTAGCATTTTATAGGGCGATGAAGTTTTAGTCCTGTTGGAGACTGCGTTGGCCCACTGCGGGCGTCTGGGAGTCGAGGGCCGCGAGAGGCGGTTGAGCGCGGGCGCTGGCGCGGGCCTCCAGCCGGCGAGTGCCGAGTGCCGTGCGCCGGGCGCCGGCGCGTTATCTCGCCCGGAGGCGTCGGCCCGGGGTGCTTGAGGGGACGACGACGGCGACGCGGCAGCGCGCGGTAGCAGAGAGGAGGCGGTCGTGGAGGTGGGGGCGGGGTGACAGAAAGGCGAGGCGGCTTGGGATGGGATAGGCGTGGGGGAGGAAATGGTGCTGGGACAGTGAGGTAGTAGTGGAAACGGCCGAGGTGTTGGTGGAGGGGGGGGGCGGAGGCGAGGACGGGTGTGGACAGAGGAGGAGGAGGAGCAGCAGACGGTTGCGGGTGCGAGGACGTGGGTGGAGGCGGTTGCTGTGGCAGATGCGGATTTGGGGGTGGAGATGGAGGCGGGCTTGGGGACGGATGATCAGGTGAAGAAAAGTGGGCGGAGGCAGGCGCGTGGGGAAGGTTGCGAGGAAGGGGTGAAGAAGGGGACGGAGGTGGAGGCGTGTGCGTGGATGGTGGTGCCGGAGGGCGGATGCGGGCGTCCGATCGGGTGCGGGTGCCGCGGTGGGGGCTGAGGCGGCTGCGGAGTCGGGGCGGGAGCTAGCGCGAGGGGCCGAGGTCTTCAAAGGCTATCCCATTTGCGCTTTGCGCCGCCTTCCACTCAGTGTCAGCAGCTGAGGGCTGTCGCAAAGGGACAAACAGCACTCACTGTCGCTCACTGCGATTCGCCGGCTGGGTGTGTTCAACGATCACCCGCGTAGGCGCTTTACTTTCCGACTCAAAGCGGTGTTCAAGGATGTCCTTTTTGATGACGTGAAAGCAAACGTTGCTGTTTTCCTAGGCGAATGCTTACTGTTTCTGCTACATTTCTTGATTTTTTTTGTAACCACAGAGAAAATGACGTATAATAAATTGTCTCGCTTCAATTGATTTTGTTTACAATGTTTTAACAGTATTTATTTTGGATTTCAGATGTGGGCGACTAGTTGATCGTGACGCTCGCCGGTTCTCTCAAGGTAATTAGATTGTTAAATAGCCAACTTTATGCTGTTTTAAGTCAATCCTTGATCTTGTTTAGATAGAAATGCTACTTTCTTTATTCAATTTTATTTGTTGTTTATTTTACATGCGGGATTAATTGAAATCATCATAAACAATTTTATTTATGTGAAATTTACTCTCATTGATTCATAATGTGTATCTGAGAATAATTAGAATTTATCATTTAAACACATACCAAAATAAAAGCGTGTGCTTCAGCACGAGAGGTACTTCTTCTGAAAAGTTGAAGAGTTATTTTATAATAATAAACGAAAGTTCGATGTTGGGTGCGGGTTCACGTTGACCTGTTTTTACACCCCCACAAATTCCACGATACTCCACAGAGACAATAAAGCGTTATAAAATGTGTCGGCAATAAAATCTGCCCAGTGAAGTACAATATCGGCAATAATAAACCGCAACGTAACGACTAGAGCCCCGAAAGCAGTAAAATTGGAACTTTGATTTAAATGGGGACATTTCGACAACTACAAATTGTGCACAAAAATTGGACACGAAGAGTAAAAGTGAGGGGTTCCAATGTTTACAAATAAAGGTCACAGGAAGGTCGCAGGAAGTCTTAATAGTTAAGAATGTTTCTCAGTTCATTGGCACACCATTGTGAAATAATATTTCAAAATGGTTCAAAGAGTTAACCAGGGAACTATTCATCCAGACGATTCAGTAAAACTGTTGAAGTGTCAACTTCTCGTTCGCTAATAACATTTATTTATAAATTCAAAAATTTTGCGAATTAATTACTAAATATCAATAAACTAACAAATGACATGTCACATGAACACCTAACAAATGACATGTCAATGAATATTGAATTCATTTTAAAAAATTAAGAAAAATCAGAAGTTAATTTCAATGTTGTGCTTACTTGTTTTGTTTTGAAGTTAATTCATTTCGATATCTTGCTCCTATTTTTCGGTCTTTAAGAACACTGTATCCGACTGGACGTTTGTTTAGGGATATGTAAGAATGAAATGTCATTATTTTATCGTTATGGGTGTACAAAATATTGCTCGTTGTGCCTAATTTTGGATTTGAATATGTATAGATTTCAAATACGGTTTGCCATTTATATTTCCATACCAATATTATAGATTTTAATACACGTGAGTGACGGGAAAACAGTCAGAGAGCCTTTTGCTCTAAAGTTGCTGAACGCTAGGACTCGTTAAAATTTAATGACAGTAGTTGGTAGATAATTTTATATTTATTTAAACTTACACAAATACAAACTGGAGTGGCAATTCAATTTTATTCGATATCGATTTAAATAACGCAGCATTTGAACCGTATTTTGATGTTATTAAATTTATAATGCCCTACAGTAGATAATATGACGCTCTAATGTGTTGTTATTGTGTGTTTAGTATACAATCTTGAGCAAATGACAATGCGGTAGGAATTGAGGGCGAAACAGTTTTAAAAAAAGTTTTTTCGGAACTAATTTAATTTAATTTTAATATTTTACACAAATTGTTGATTTGTTCCTTAGTCTTGCCTCATCGTTATCTATGCCATTATCACGTTTGACAAAACTGTGGCTGCAATACTCTGCGCATTAGCTTATCGAAAGGTGACGGAGAGAATGGAGGAATGCGAGAGGAAAGTGTCGAAGACATAAGGGACGAATTGGAGTTGGAACAGACATGGCGCCGAGGTTGATGGGACAAGGAAACAGGGAGTTCAGTGAAATAGTATTCCGTATTTCCGGGTGCGTCAACTACGCTGGACTTAAGTCCCGTAAGTGTAGTGCATGATACTGCCGAGACGATGCGGTGTTTCTTCCACGTTGAAACGTGAGATCCGGCGCTCACTTCCACGTCGTCATGTGGAGAGTTTTTCCTCTCAAAGTATCTTCACCAGTGGGCATCAACCCACTGGGAGAAGCTGTAAGCTCCCAGCTGGGCGCTCTATACATGTGATGTAGTGTGTGTGTGTGTGTGTGTGTGTGTGTGTGTGTGTGTGTGTGTGTGTGTGTGTGTGTGTGTGTGAGCGGAGACGAGAGAAGGGAGTTAAGGGTCCCGAGCGGTTCCTGGCCCGATTGTTAGGGTACTGATCTGGAATTGTTCTGATATTGATAGGAAAAGAACACGATAAATTTCTGTTTAGAGCGGCTCTCCTCTACAATTCTCCAGCCAACAGCTGAAGTTTGGCTATGTCTATAGCTAGTGTCGACAATCCGCCACTATTTCGACCCCTAGAGCCCAGGGAGCCTGCATCCGCAACGATTGTTGTCCCAGTCGGTCTACGAGGAAGAGGGTGCGCGGTGGCGGATAGGGAGGCTGGAGGGCGAAAGGGCGGCGAAGGCGGCACGGGGGCGGGGAGGGGGCGGACGGCGAGGGCGGCACGCGCGTCGCGCGAGAGGAGCGCCAGACATCTTGTCGTCGTCGGCGGCGGCGGCGGCGGCGGCGGCGGCGGCGCAGCGGGCCGCGGGGCTCCATATGCACCGCGCTTTCATATAGAAATGCTTGGGATTCGAGGCGCCGAGCGGGACGAGCCCAGGGGGGGGGGAAGCTGAAATCCGGATAATTCCAACGTATGTATTATATAACATACAGATAATTTTTTTTACCGTCTGAAAATAAGTCTAGCAGCAAGGTGTTGATCGGTAGTTTCTCGTGGTTTCTCCTATTACTTTCTAGCATTTGCCAGACTTACGACTTTAGTGCCACCTTCACAAACGGTTCACGGATCGTGCTCAATCTTTCCTTTTCTTTCTTATCCTTGTCCCACCTCCCCCTTACCCATACAAACACACATCACATATGAGTACACCACACTACCACACATCTCTGAAGGCTAGATTTTGTCTTCACTCGGTTGGAACCCCATTAGAGGAGCTACCAAAAGAAAAGTTCCTGAAACAGACGTGAAGGTCGACGCCAGATCTCACGTTTCAAGGGGGGAGGAACACCGCCGTCTTCCGGGATGTTACATTTACTTCACTTATGGGACTAATTACAATATTAGTTAACGTGCTCGGAAATACTACATTAATCAAAAATATATAGTTAAATATCAGTACAGGGAATACAAAGGATGCTGAAACAACTTCGCAGCATGTGATATAGTAACGCAAGTATGATGAAACCACGGAAAACGAGCTAGAACAGCCGGCCGCTCTCCTGCAGACAGCGACTGAACTTGACCTAGGACTTCCCGGACAGAGGCACTGTAGTGACATTAGTTGATACACTGAGCCACCTCTCCCAATTCATGTTCTTAACTGCATATCGTATTCACTCATTTTTGTGTTCCTCTGACTTATCCTTTAATGGAGCTGAGGGATCGAATTGAATTAACTGATACCTGGCTTCTCAGGGTAATTATAAAATGATCGATGGCGATTTAAAGAATTATGAATATTGTTCTCTACGTCACAATCATAAGACGACGAATTAAAAAAAATCCAGGATGCGAATAAAATTTGGAGAAGAGCAGTTACCATTTCAATCCCCGACCTAGGCATACCAAGGTCGTGGGCAAGGTTGGCACTGACTTACTACAGTTCTCGGGCACTGCGCCCAGAGAAATTGGCGCGAAATTTAAAAGTGTGGGAAATACAATGGCTTCAGAATGGCAGTACATACTTTGATGCCTGATTACATGATATTTTTTTGGAGACGTAGGTTGAGAGTTACTGCCCCAAATTTAGCAACAGTAAGTTTCATTTCCTCTAAAGAAAAGAAATAATTCATGAAAATGAACTAATACTTTGGTCATTCTTCAAATTATCAAATTCGAGTAAAATTAACAATAATCAAGGTAAAGTATTTTGATTAAGTAATCATGTTAACATACGAATCCAGTATTTGCATTCTTTCCTATAATTAAGTTAGGAGGTGTAACAGAGAAATATTTTTGTCTCTTAAAAGAGCAGTAAGAATGAATAACTTATGGTGATATTAATTTATTTGGCATTATTGCTTCATTCAACAATTACCTGAATTATTTAATAAAACATTACAAAAAAGAGGAAAGGAAATAACTCGCCACTTAAACAAATTTGTGTCCTTACCAAAATATGTTTATAGAAGTCATTTAAAAAAAATTGAAAAAAGTTTAAACAATTCAAGTATCGATTGATGGATAAAACAAATCTGGAAAACCTTTTTTTCGAATTCAACTACTTCTCCATGACTCAAGCCGCTTCAGCCTGCGCGTGTACATCCCTTCCCGGTTTTGGAGAAGAAATGAAAGCGAGTTCGGGAGAAGTAGCCAGTGCTTGCAGTAGCGTCGAGATTCGCAGGCCTATAAGTAATTGTTCAGGTGCAGTTTGGTGTGCCAGGCCTGTACTCTCCAGGTCGGCGTCGGGTCTCACGACTTAATGTAACGCGAGTCTAGCCTTTCTCGGCCATCGTCATGTCTTTTGGAGTGACCTCGCCATTTATCTTGCCATGCGTGTGCCAGCCGTGACTTCTTTTGCGTATGGCTGTGTGTGGTCGACATTTGTGTAGCAATCCAAAGTGGAACATCGTGGCATTCCGTCGACTTGTTTTTGCACCTTTACTCCGGATCCTGCACTCTTGGGCGGGTTCTCTACTCTTTGACACTCTTCCAGGGCCGGTCGTCTGAGGTGGCTCGGAGAATCAACCGATGTCATTGCAGTGCCTCTGACAGGAAGGACCTAAAGTTTGAGGCCCGACTGTTTTTTGACTTCTGTCTCTAACTCCGCTGCTCTGGTCGTAGGAGAGCTATCTGCTCTGGTCGATAGATTTCCGTAGTTTTTTCGATCAAAACCAGGCGAATGTCGGGCCAGTACTACGCACGATATTTTCATCCTCTTCCCAGTTCTTTTCTCATAATTTACGTACACACGCTTACACTTACAGGCCCCACACTACCATACATGTGGTATGGCATAGCGGGAGTTTAGAGCTGGCCAGGGCTGGGGTTGACGAAGCAGTTGACATGACCGGAACCACGAATTAATCAATCATTCCAAAGCCGGGGCTGC